AGTACCATAACCCAAGCCCAGGTGCATGTGAGTGGAGTTCACCAGTTCCATCATGGCTGAATCACCAGTGAAAGCAAGAACTAGTCGTTGGCCTGCAATAAAATATATTTTGAATGTACATAGATTTATCTGAAGTGTGACTTTTGAGGACTTCCATACAAATCTGCCTCAATAACATAGCACAGGTGGTGCCTTGCAATTTGACTTCTGCCCCAGAATTTGACCTGCTTAGGCCTCATTTTTGTGCTGATATTTCTCAACTTTGCAAAGTGTCTAGCAATTTTAATGCTTTGTAATTTGACCTACTATAGTCTGGCAACAGATTAGGGTCAAAGTGCAAGGTACCACCTGTACAATGTGAGCTACATTTTGAAGATCCAAGCAACATGGACACAGAAAAGAATATTTATCTTCAAATTCATTATAATTGCTAGGCATCTCTGAGCAGATAACATGTTGGGCTTTGATGCAATCCAAAAAATATATATGATGAAGACACTGCAGATGAACACATAAAACTACAATAAATTAGCTAATTTGTAGCAAAGGACATATGCTAGGGGACACCTTGGAATTATGTTCACAGTTTTCAAGAACAATTTATTGTCTAAATTGATGAAAATAGGAATTGAAAAAATTCAAAAGGAACACCAAAACTGCTACACAAATGAATTTTTGCACATCAATTAAATCCAAATTTGAGCACAGTTATGAAATATGCAGACAAAGAAGGAATAAATGAGAGCAATGATTTTTCACAGTGAAGATTGTGCATAGACGCTTTTTTAATCAAAAATTAAAATTTGGAGAGGAGAGGAAAAACCTTCCCTGTGCTTTTTATCCACAACATAATCTTTAATTTAGTGTCATATTTATCATGAATAAATCACTGACCAGTTTTGGATTCCCATGCATTAGCACACTTTTCAAGCATGCTAGAATTGTAAGTCATCATTGTGCAACTAGTTGGTGACCAGGTTAAATTTTCTCCCAATTTTCCACCATCACTCAGAAAGGTGCCACAGTTGTCCAACTCTTGATGGATGATTTTCATCACCATTTTCAACAAAACATTGATTGCTAAAATTCTGATGGCCAAAATCAATGAATGCCGCAGCATTCCTCAAGTTTGCAGAATTGGATATCCAATGAAGAGAATCTAAGAAACACGAGTTTTATTTGCAAATTTTAAAAACAGTTTTTTCGTGGATCACCAAAAATGAAGCATATATCACACGTGGTCACTAAAAATGATCAAAACAATGAAAAAGGGCATATCTCCATAATATTGCAGCTTTTCCTTTATTTTTACACAATCTGAATAAAAATTTGGAAAAATATTTGAAATTTGGAAGTTTTATCCATCCATCCAGTCCAAAATTAATTCTTGAAAATGAATGGTACAAATTCTTAGGATATATTTTCATTAATTCGGTTCAGGTTCAACTACCACTTTTTGGGACTAAAGCCCACCTCAAGACTTTCACATCATATTAGCTTCAATTGGAAAGAAGACTCACATTCACTTTAATTTCCTATATAAACTTTCTTGACACTTATTGGACATATTTTTGCTAGAATATACTGTCCCTCATTTTCCCTCACTGTACAGTCACTGGGAATGGTGCCAAAAACTGTTCAATGCTGGAAAGAGAGTATAAATATTTCAGCTTATATTTGATGCTTGTTCTGATTATAGTTGATTATTTGCTTTATAGATAATGCTCCCAAGTAAAACTTCTCAGATATTTCTGCTAGTTTGAAAAATACATTGAATGGAAAAATGCCATCAAATGATTTTTTTAGTTTTAACCTTCTCATTATTATTATACTTACTCTCTTCTAATCCAAAACTCCTCCAAAAGAAATTCCTGTATACATGTAATCTCACACAGATGAATGAAGCTGGAAAAAATCTCCCTCCTGCAGAGAGAACAAATAAATATTATGTGCTGGTGTAACTAAAACCAGTCAACAGTAGCACTTCTCATCAAAGCACCAGCACCCAGAAAAAGGGGTGATACTGTACATCTTAGCTGCTGGCAAATAAGAGAACACTGAAAAGTCAAAAAGGTAATCGACTTACTGTATGATTTCTCCACTTGCAGTCTCTTATTGACATAACACTCCTGAGGCAAAATTCCACCAGGCACAGGAACTACTGTACTGCATTTCCAGCACTTTGAAAAGGAAGAATAACAGCAATTTAATCCTATACCTATGTTGAAGCCACATTGTCCTTCCACAGTCACAGTCACCTTCTTGCTTGAGATACAATTCACAGGATGAACAGCCCATGGTCTATAATATATGCTTGAAATTAACCCTGAAAACTCAGAAAATTAAAACATTGTACAGTACATGAACACACTCACAGTATAGGAGCAGTATGAAATTTACTAATTTCAGAAACAAGAAGAGGTCATGGCCTTCTATTGTGTCATTTTCCTCCAATTGTTGATCCAAAAGTATGATCCCTCACCAAATATTTTTAAATATTTAGTGCTGTACTTTTATTCAGACCAAAACATTTTGTATCTTGAAGAGTTTTGTTATATGCCCTCCCCCCCTGGATAATTTTTATCATTCAGATTTTTGTGAATCCTTCCTTATACAAAAACTCACGGTACAGTGAGACCCCCAGATGTGGACATAATTGGTGCATCAAGAGTGTCCCGATGTTGGATTGTCCCAAGTTGAATCTTGTTTTCCCATAGACTTACATTGTATAATTTTTAATTGCTGCATTATGGGAGAAATATTCTTCAGAATTTCATGAAAAAAATTTTTGCCACTTTAATTTTATTCAAAGAATATCTTTTCAAACCAATAAGAACATTTGGAACATTGAATAGTATACCTCTGTACAGTACATTGAAAAGTTGGCATGTGGAAAAATAACATCCATGTCACAAAGAGAGCTAGAAGGAAGTCCCTCTGTGCTATAGGGCATTTTTAAAATTAGCTGAATGGATGGGACAATGATGGGAGAAGTACCAAAGAAATTTTCTTGCATAGATCTTAGGTTGGAAACATGTCTCTTGCAATTAAGCCTTATAAAAATCAATTTTCCTAAAATGTATTTTGGAATTTCATCCTGCAATGTCCCCTGGTTGAGTCAGTGTCCTCATGTTGGGTCTTTTTATGATTTTTTTGTTAAAAAATAAATGTCCCCATGTTGAATCATCCCCATGTCAAGGCATCCGTATGTGGGGGTCTCACTGTATTTACAAAACTCAGAAGTGGTGTTAATAATGTCCATTTCGAATTGCTTTGAAAGGCGTTCATTATACTGTACATATCCCCTCCCACACAAATTCCAGCATAACAAGTCCCAAGACAGAGCCAGGTGCTGCAGCACACCAAAGTAACTTCCCTGACCCTATTTTGGGCAGCCTAACCAATCCTGCTTGACATACATAGAATTACTGATGACATCCAGGTGACATGGCTCATGTATGAGCATTGAGTGATTTCCTGCAGGGATGCCAAACTCTGAATGAGGACTTGAGCTGCTGTGCTGTGTGCAACCCCTTACAATTTTCTGAATAAAATATCAGTAGAGAACTCAGGCTTTTGGGGCTTAAGTATTTCAGTTCAAACAGCAGTATACAGTTGACCCATAACTAATAAACTCCTCAGTTAACAAAATTTTCAGTCAATAAATTTTTTACACAAAAAATTTTGGTCAACTAACTCTTGGTTCAACAACATTTTGATGAACAAACTTTGGGCTTTGAGGAAACATCCCTGAGTTGACAAACCAAAATTTGGTAAAAAAATGTGTTGTGCATCTCATTAAAGCAAAACATGTAGCCATAAACTTGAAAAAGTTTTCACTGTCAACACTTTCCCAGTGTGAATGAGCAAAAAATGACAGGTGTTCTTCACAGAGCAGACTTGACACTTTCTTGTAACAGCAGTTCCACAAGATTTCAGGGCATGGAACCCTACTGATCACCCACAGAATGACACACTGAAGCATCTTCTGTCCAAGTTGAAAACTATACAGTGAAATCTCATTACAACATACAACAAATTTGTTATTACACAAAACTTTTTCTCACACCCCAACAGAAAGCCCATGGAAGGCATTTTAGGATAATCTTGTTGTAACAAACTTCGTAATTCCAATACAACAAACTTTTCCAAAAAATATGTAATAGACTCTTCAGATAGAAATACCCTGACTATGGCAGGCACAGTCTGAAATTTCTGATGCCAAATGTGACTAACTGGTTCTTGTACTGTACCATGTACAGAAGACTTAATCTATAACAAACATGCTACCAATTGTTCCACATCATCATCCCAGAATGGAGGAATTTCCATATCATCCTCAAAGAATTAAAATCACTCCGTTTTTCGAAGAATAATAAAAAAAGCAAAAGCACAAAAGCAAGATCTAGTTCATTATACAGGCAGGTCTTATGTCAACTTTTTTCAGTCATTAATTTTTAAAATTTTGATATCGAAAATTATGAACAACAACGATCTATTTTCGAAGTTTCGAAAACTTTGTTGCAGCAAGATTTTACTGCAATTCCTCGACTCAGTTTTGAAGATGCTTCCCACAATGTGCCTGCACACACCTCATAATAAATACACCTTCATGCCTTCGCGCCGATCTTGTACTAAATTGCGACTATTCAAAGATTTTACACTTGCCTCAGATGGTTTCAGAAAACCTTCGATCAGCGATGATCCCCATGACGCGGACACCCTTCTGCTTCCTTCAATTTAAAATAGATTGAAGACGATTGTTGGCAAAAGCAAGGATTTATTCCTTGACAACAAGAAAACGTCTCTGGATCAACACGCAAGCAATGAGACCAGATCACTTCTTCACAATCTGGATCACATCTTCGTCGTTCATTACATGGTTCAGTCCGACTCGCTGGGGGTTGAACTTGGTACTGGTCCCCTGAATTTAAAAGATGAAGAGATAGGCATGATTATTTCTGTGAAGTAAAAAACAGTACAGTATATCTTGAAAAACTGGGACAGTAAAGACTCCCATCAAGTCATCAACAAATAGAAGTAGTGAGACCCCAAGATGCAGACATAATTGGTCCATCAAGAGTGTTCCTATGTAAAAATGTCCATAAGTCAAGTCTCATCTTCCCTTAAACTACATTATATAATTCTTGATGAATGTTTTATAAACAAAATACTCATCATAATTCCATGAAAATAAAAATTGTCTCCCAATTTAAAATGATTCAATCAATTTATTTCAACACAATATGGACATTTGGGGATTTGAATACTGATACTTCTGTACAGTACAAAATGTTGGCATTCTCTGTAAAAATAATATTCAAGTGAAAAAGAGAGAAGGAAATCCCTCTAATGCTGGAGATATTTTTTAAATTATCTAAACGGATGGTAAATTAGTGAGAAAATGCCAAGAACTTTCCTTAAATCAATTTCAAGGGTTGGAAATATCTGTTTCTTGTAATCAGGCCTGAAACTTATTTGCAATTGTATCACAAAATGTCCCCATGTCAAGTCAGCGTCACATGTTGGGCCTTTTTATTAATTTTTATGAGAAAATGAGTGTCACAATGTCAATTGTCTGCGTGTAGCAATTGAATAATGGAAGCAACTAAAAAATCTGTTCAAAAGTGCCTTTCTTCACAGTGTCTTGAAGCTTATCATGGTTTGTCCAATTGATTCTGCTCAAACCATGGAACATATATATCACCCCCTCATTTGGTCAAATGATTTCAAACAAACTTGAAAATGTTTCATAAGCCTCTGGTCTGAGTGACAATCTATCTGCTTGATGTGGCCATTGAGACTGCAATTAGATTGAACCCTGCGGTTCAGTGTCATAACCGAATTTCGAATTTTCGCCTGAGAACAAATTTTTGTTGACCAAGGGGTTTGTCAATCAAAGATCCTTGTACTGCAGTTAAGAGGAGCTTATCTTCAAAAAAAATTTCCCATAAATTTATTTTTTCTACGTGCTTCTCAATTAATAAATTGGTAAACCACGCGTGATTATTGGTACAGTACTGTATTGTCATTAGGTTGATGGGCAGGCCTCATTGCCAGAATTGGGCTCAACAAGAAAATGCAACCAAAAACCAATGGAAGAAGGTTCAGGTCAATTTTTGTGGCACTGCATAGCTTGAAATTTGGATAAGCCTGTCTCTGGCAAAAATTTTTTCTCTACCTTTTCGTTCACGAAAACAGTTTTTATTCAATTTTCTGGGGACTACTTGCAAATTTCATATAAACAAGAAACCCAGTTAAATAAGTTTGAATTGAAGTTCATGGGAAAACATGATCCAACATGCGGACGCTCCGACATATGGACAAGGTCCAAGCACTAATTACGTCCGCATCTCGGGGTTCCACTGCCATCGAAAATTTAAGCGGTAGTTCAATAATTCAGTACTGCAACGAATTCTGTAAGTCGGGTGCATGATTTCCGTAATAAAAAAGTAAGGCAACGTAAAATCTCTAAGCACCGCAAGCATCGACCCTAGATGTCACTCCTAAACTGAAATCATCAAGATGCTCAGCATCACGGTCGTAATACTCGTAACCACGATAAAACACACTTTCTGCACAATGAATCGGTTCAAGAGATTCAACTCACCCAAACTAGCGCGTACTTGAAAGTTGCTACAATCGTTCGATGAATTGCATGGCAAACGTGTTCCGCATTACATCCTTTCCGCAAAATCAAGCCATCGTCGAAATCCGGCGGTTGACCGGGCTTCTTCGTGTAAACCCTGACCAAGGCTAACATTTCCCACACAGTTTCCAGTAGATAGTCCAAGTTCAATTTCATATTGCAGCTAACGACGACTGTATTCGGCATCCTCGCCAACCGGTCTACTTCTTCCATAGATACTTGATCTATTTTGTTGTAAACGTACAAACACGGCAAGTAAACTCGATTTGCGCAGATCACGTCGATCAGCTCGTCCGCAGTACAATCCTCTCGGAAAAGCACCTGAAGAGTAAAAATGATGGAGTTCGCTCGCTATCAAATTGGGAAACAAGGCCGGGGAATGCAGTTACTAAGGAGGAAGAAGAATGTTCATCAAAACCCACCTCGGCATTGAATATTTTATATTCGTGAAGGATCATCTGCACCAGCTTCTCGTCGATTTTCGATAGTATGCACGTGGCGTTGAAGGAAATTCCTCCGGCTTTCTTCAACTAGAAAAAAATAATAGCATCAGATCACATCATGAAACTTCTTGGTGAACATTATCTACGAAGTTGAACCTCGTTCCTCAGTTCGTTTTCATTTTTTTTTACAAAATCCGTGGTAACTTGAAAAACGCAGAAAACCAGCGGGAATAAAGAATTGTGTCATGTAGTTCGAAGGACGACACAGGTATGGAAGTAATCGCTTTAAAAATCGGTACTTGCACTCGGTTCTGCCCATAAATTCGTATCACAAGAGTGACCCCACCATACAAGGGCACCGACTCAAAACATGAAAAATACGGAGCGTTCTACAACAATGGGATGGGCGATACTGTACATTTAATTAAACAAGACAACCTGAGCGCGATAGGAGATGAAAAATATCTTCACTCAAGGTTCACTGAAGTAGCTGTGTAAGTTTCCTTCAATCCAAAGAATCCTGCGCAGTGCTGGGATCGTAAGGTCAGCTTCAAATTTCTTCTCACTTGAAGCAAAAATACGCTCCTCTTTTTCTAAGAAGTGAAAAGAGAGATAACCCTCCTATGCTTTAATTCGTTTTCACGACGGGGGAAGAGACCGACACGATTTCCTCACAATCCTCGAAAGGTACTTCACCCCGCTTAAATTAAAAAAGGTTGTACGCGTTATTCAAGAGATATGATATTCACATTGCTGACGGGGAAAGCGCATTCAGATGAAAAGCAGAGAAGGAAGACCCCATCAAAAGTATATATTCCTGAAGACAAATATTGTCCTCAGAAAAGTCGCTCTCCTTTCATCAATTACTATATCACACGATTTTAGAAACGGATCAACTTCGGGAATTCTGCATATTTTATTAATACAGTATTCCACAGATCAGAAGTAATATTCAGCCAACCACAAGTTGCAAAAAGCGATGTAACTCACTACATGCAGATCATTCCCGAAGTGAGAAGCGTTCGTTCACAGAAGTTTCACAGAGAGATAAACATGTTTCCCCTGAAAAATCCGACGTTCGTTCTTTGATTCCAGGTTCTTTTCGATATGGAGCTTAACTTCTCGTCCATCTGGGTGTTTTTCCCTCTTATAGATTTTCGCCACAGAACGTATGCACTTATGGCAAGAATTCCGTCAGAAACAGGTAATTACCTTGAAATAAATGTTGGGCTTCGGTTTGTTGAGACGAATTCCTACTGATTCCAACTCAGCTTCGAGTAGGCCTCGTTGAACATGGCCCTTCGTCGCATCGAGCATCATAAGCACCAAATCCGCGGTTCTTGCGACAGCTATAACTTGCCTACCTCGACCTTTGCCCTGCGCAGCACCTTCTATGATTCCCGGAAGATCCAGCAACTGAATGTTGGCCCCATTATAGCTTATGACGCCAGGGATACAAGTCAAAGTCGTGAACTCGTAGGAAGCTGCTTCACTGTGGGTGTCCGTCAGGGTACTCAATAAGGTCGACTGGAAAAATCATTGACATCAAACCTTATTGAGATGTTCACTCCTGAATGGCCCGCAATACGAACGTACTTTTCCGACGGATGGAAATCCTATCAGTGCGACACGGGCATCACCAGATTTCAGCACATCGAATCCCTCACCCTTCTCCCCTTTCTTCCCGGTTGGCTCAAGGAGCTGTTGACGATATTTCGCTAACTTAGCCTTCAGCACTCCGAGGTGATACTCCGTAGCTGGAAGAGAGGAAACACGGAAACGATTTACATAATCCATGCATTTGATGGCAGAGGGAAAACGAACCTTTATTTTTCTGCGTCCGAGCGATTTCTTTCTCAATTTCTGATATTTTCTCGAGTATCCCCATCACTACCGTTTAATTCGCTGCGGAAATTCAACAGAAAAATATGACTCGCTAGGCATGATACTCCATATTCCTTAGTGATCTTGGCTCGAGGAATCACTTTAAAGGATGGCAGTCATCATGTTCCAATCGCAAACAGATCAAGCGCATCGAAAACGGTTATTGCAGAAGGATCATTTCGATTCAAAGCTGTTCACAACGCTGCCTAGGTCAGCCCTTCATCAGGCGAACACTTCGAAGTAATTCTCGATATGAGGAAATACGAAAAGAAACATATATATTCGGGGAGCGATCCACATCGGCTTTCCCGCGAAGAAAATTTGCAATTCCCCGGTGGAGAAGTCCGATATGCCCCCTTCCAGGACAACTTCTCCTCAGAGCCACTGGACTAAGGGCTGCCTCTTCCACTCCACCCCCACCAGCGCCAGTTTCTGGCAGAGCCACCAGCATCAGTGTCTGTCAGTGAGTGCTTTCAACTTCGATGATTTCATATTTATAGGTTCTGGGTGGACAATTAAGACGAAATAACATTATGCATGTTTGGTGAAAACATTTTTCAAAAAAATTGTAAAATTTAGGTTAGGTTATATCAGTTCTGTCAGGTTAGGTTAGCTTTTAAATGAAGACATCAGTACACTGTCTGCCTACACATATTTTCGTCACGAAATATGACAAGTGCTATGCATGAAGGCACTCATTGATGACATTGGGACAGGGCGTGGTAGGTAAGTGCTCCCTAGCGGAGTAGCAAGGAAGTAAGCGGTGGTGAATTGAAAACGATGCTGGATTGTCCAGGCCCCAGAAAAGCCAACTCCCGGAGGCGAGGTCCGTGACCTTTGCCTTTATGTTTCGGCATTTCAATTGGAAAGCGAGGTCCCTCTTCGCTTTTTAATTTCATGAGTATGTGATGCCTGATATATATTTGCGTGTGGTGATAGGGGAGCTTCTTTACTCGCGTATTTTTCGCAGAATCAAGGCGAGTGTACAGTGTTTACTTGGAAAATCGTCTGTACATCCCGCCACACCGGGCACATCGCGATCACGTGGTCGAAATTCTCTTTCTGAAGCCGACGTAGTGAAGGAAACAACGGCGGCCATTTGTCGACTTTTAGCCCGGTAGTGCTTTGCTCAGCATACAAAGAGTATGTTATCTACAATCAACTCATGAGTCATGACTGCTTGAGTGCAAAATGTCCAAGACTTCCATGTCCTCAAATAAAGGAAAAGATCAATACTGCTTTTCAAGAGCTACAGATTTATTAAATTCGGTGAGTAATTATGTAGTGTACATTCAATGAATTTTGTTGTTGTTTTAATACTGATTTTACGGCAATTTTTCATTATACAGTAACAAAATTCTTCTCAATCCCTGACAGAAAGACTGTATATTGTAAATTTTGGAACAGTCTCATTATAACAAACTCACTCCTTCAGTGAAACAAACCATTTTGAAAAATGCTTGATAAAATCTCTGGAGTCTGGTTACACGTTTTATGTAACTACACTGTATGAGAAAGTTACAGTCTGAAAAGCCCCTTTCTGAATGCCAAAATATGACAGGAAAATTCATGTAGCTTGGAAAGAAGCTGAAATCAATAATAACAAACAGGCTTTCAATTCAACACATCATCATCCAGGATGAAGAGATTTTCTGGGAGGAGAGAACAAATCAATTTTAAAAATAATGTCACAATTAATAAGGCAAACATGTTGTTTTGAGGGTGGATAGACGCTGTGCTTGTCACTCCTACTTATAATGATTTTTCAACTTCTGCCCTTCAGTAATGATTCAGAAAAAACTTAAGAGTTCACACAAAGTGATTGTCTCCACCTGTTCACTGTCTTATCAGCACTTGTTTATGGTCAATTTTTGGACAATATTGAGTATATATGCTACATTTGCAGGTTCTTGACAAAATTTGGGAATTCTCAACCTGAATTTTTGCTCTGCCTAATGTGTTTTTCCTGATTTACTTATTTGCAAATAAAAGGCAATAAAAACATACAGGAATGTGGAAAAATGCAGCCAAGTTAACGTTTGTTTGGCGCCCTCTGATATTATTTTTTTAATTTTGTCTTTTTCTTTTGGCTGCCCAAAATCGGTGAGAAAAATTCAAAAAGAGAAATTAATCAATTATTTTTCATAAAAGCTCAGATTTGGGTGAGTTCAGGTGTGTGAAAAGTTTCCATCATAAGCCAAAACTGCAATATTAACCATCCATTGAAATGTATATGACTGAAGCCGACATTTTTCAGAAGGTCATTTAATTTTCCAAACCATGCCAAAAGTCTGCAAATGCTTCAAGTACAAGATTTGTTTGATTATTGGCAGGTTCAATGTGAAGAAAATTTTCCAGACATTAATTTTTGAAACCTTGGCATAAGAAATGATTCAGTATATTACAAACTTTTCCTGTGGTCCCCCAACTTTTCTTGCTGGAAGATTCTACTGTATATGGCAGTCATGTAAAATTTCAACATGAATTTAATTTGCTCACAATATGGAACAAAATGTATCAAAAGCCCTCAAAGCCTTGAATTTGAGAACATACATACATGTAAATCTTTTAGCTTCAGTAATTCCGGAAAAGACAGGAAAATTTGTTTGTGGGTTGAATTTATGTTTTGTGGGTTGTCCTATGCAGCTTTCTCTTCAAGATTGACATACAGTATACTGTACTGTATTGTGTTATGCATTGGCAGTACACTATATACATTTCTGGTATTGTCAAAAGCATCTTTTACAGGCATGTCTACCATCATTCCCAAGGAATTAAATGGAGGGATTTTCATGGACAGATTGTTTTCCATTTCAGAACTGTGCTTTAGTTTTATTAAAATTTGCATTTTACATAAATTCCCATATTAATGACATTTTTGAAATTCATTTGTTTTTAAAAGAAGAAGTGCTTTAAATATATAGTTTGAACACCGCAGACAAAATGCTGAGGCATTCCAATGTCCAAAATAGCATTTTGGCTGAAGCAAATACATGTACCAATGTTTCAGGAAGTTATGAGGTATTTCTGGGAAAGATTCCGTTTCCTACATTGCACTGATATCTCTGATATTAAGATCTGTTGCATCAACTTCATGATGAATGGGAATATAATGAAAGTTGACTTTTTCATTGTAATACTGATGAGGTACACATCTTGAATTCAGTACTGAAGTGTATAATCAGCTCAAGAAAGTGAACTATTACAATGTCATGACCATGCAGGATGGGTGAACATCATGTTATGCATTTTTTGGAATGATGAATCATCCCTATACAGAAAGCTGGGAAATTTTAAATGATTTTTTTCTGCCAGTATTAGAGGATGGTAATATGGGGTGCCCATTGCTGGAAGCTAATTTTACATTACTGTACTTACCACAGCAATTTCCTTTCATGACCCGCCCATGTTATTTATGGTGTACTCAGTAATTATAACATCATTGATGTCACAAAATCCGCAATGACAAGAACCACACGTCCCATATTGGTTTATACTCTGTGTGTGTATTTTATGCATGGTGAAATACAGTACATTTTATTAACGAATATTCTATAGTTGATAAATTGTACTACAGTATACTAATGTCCACCTGCTGCTAGGGTGCCTTTTTGTGTGGTGCAGAACAACATGCCGTATATCGGCAGTGGCACTTCGTCAGCTGCTGGCTGAATTTATTCAACTGAATCACAGACCGGAGAAATGTTGCTTATTACATTTAATAAAATATTATGCTTTGGCAGAAGAAAATTCAAAATGATTCAGGCATGTATGAAAAAAAAAATAGTGGAAATCAGGCTGTTCAGAATACTCGCGCGTGACGATAGCTGCCCTATTCGCTTCTCAGGTTCATCAGTGATGGAAACCCACGTGCGAATCTTCGTCATATACAGGAGAACCAAAATATGCCGTTTATTTTCTATACGTTTCTAAACCGATATATTTTGACATGGACAATTTCTGGAACCGCGTAGTATGGTGAAAAATGCATCAGTGAGGAACAGGAGTGCATATACAGTAAAAACTTTTGAGAGCAGTTTCCGCGCGTGATATATGCTAGCTGCTCTATCCTCTGTATATACCGTATTCGTTTTGAGGTTCAGAGTGATCGAAACCTGCGTGTGAATACTTGGATTCAATGGAACCAAAGTACTGTATGACGTGACGTTTATTTTCTTCTTTTAGAAAACGGGTATCGACGATTTCTGGGATCGCGTAGTTCTACGAAGAATGAACAGATTTTCTGAGTGTCCGCGCGTGATATTTGCCGTATTTCCGTCGTTTCGTTGAGGTTCAGTGACGGAAATCTGCGAGCGAAACCTCACGAGAGAACCTTTTAATTAGAGCTACCGAAGATTTCTGGAATCGCGTTGTGTGTCGACAAATATATGAGTGAATA